AACTTCTCGCCTGAAGTAGAGAATGGAAGTCAGGAAGCGTTCGACTGCAAGTACCCCATGGGCTGGACAAGCGAGAACGTCGCAGGTGAGCATAGTTCATACTTCTCCAGTGCATCGAGCGAACGTTCGGTATGCTGAATTGTGTCACGTTGCTAAGGCGACTTTAACATTGCACGGGAGAGGATGGACGCCTGGGCGGCGCAGTCGCACCAGCGGGCAGCAGCAGCGCAAGCCTCGGGTGCATTCGACGCAGAGATAATTCCAATCACGGCAATCGAAAAGCAGGGCGAAGCGCGAGTGCACAAAGTAGTCTCTGCAGATGACGGTATTCGATCAAACAGTTCTGCGGAGAGCTTGGCAAAGATCAAGCCTGCTTTTCCCCAGTGGCAACCCGCTCATACCACTGGCGGCAACGCGTCCCAGATCACGGACGGTGCGGCTGGCGTTTTGCTTATGAGACGTAGCTTGGCCAACAAGCTGGGCAAGAAGGTCATTGGCAAATACGTGTCTACCGCAGTCAGCGGTCTTGCTCCGAGGATCATGGGCATCGGTCCTAGTCTGGCTATTCCGAAAGTGGGTACAGTATTTCCACTTGTTTTACCCTCCGACCACGCTGATGTGCGCATGGGGTCGGCTCCTTCCAGGTGCTCGAGCTGAGCGGCATCTCCAAGGACCAAGTGGACCTGTTCGAGATCAATGAAGGTAAGATGTGTTCCTGCGACTCATTCGCCGTTTGCGCTGACACCTCATGCTGCGTTAAATAAGCCTTCGCATCGATGATCGTGTATTGCAAGGACAAGCTCGAGATTCCGGATGACAAGCTGAATGTGAATGGTGGAGCATGCGCTCTCGGTCATCCGCTTGGTGCAGTGAGTATCGGCGTGGGCATCTTCTTGTCGTTGATCGACTGATGGCTGCTCTATTCGCAACATTAGACTGGTGCGCGTCTGGTTGTGACAATCCTGAACGAGCTGGAAAGGCGCAATCAGCACGTCGGCGTCGTCTCCATGTGCATTGGTCTGTGAGTGCTGTGCACAGCTTGTAGGAGCCCAAGCGATCGTGCAGCCGCATGCGAACTTTTCTACAACCATATCAAACGCTGACAACGACCCTGTCGTTCTCTCCTTGTTCTCATTAGCGGTATGGGCGCTGGTGAGTACCGCGAGGCCAACGTGCGCGTAGTGACGAGTCCGCTGAAAGCTTGCCTGGCGCTCTCTTTCCTTCAGCTGCTGTGATACTTCGCGAAGACTAAGGGTTGTCTGAGCAAGTAGCTCGCTCCTTACACATGGGGCTTGGCGCCTGCGATCGGCAAATGTAGGGTTAAGCTACTCCATTCATCATTGCCCCAATTTCTCAGAGGGTGCGCAGCTGAAGATGCGAGTTCTGATTGCAGCTGGTGTGGGGCGGGGATGTCGCAAATATGAGCATTCTTCACTCTGATTGTGATACGAGCAGCATTTGATCAGGAACAGAGGCATCGCTTGGTCTCTGTGAAGCTTTCATGTATCAGTCGTCGGATCTCCATGCATGTTCTGATGTCAAGCGAGGCCCTGTCGCTTCCCGTCCGACGCGAGATCGAAAGCCACTCTCGGAAGCCTTCATGCTTGGCTTCGATGCGACATTGCTTGGATCATTCGATGGAGACTGGGACTATTCTTGCCAGTCAGCATTCAAGAGGTCCTCACTCGAAGTTCTGGGAACATCTGAAGCCACACGTCCGGTGTGGATGAGGTGCGACTTGAGGTGCTCGGCTGCTCGCTACCATGCCCAGCCTACCGGTCAAGCCTCCGTTAACGCACACGCGTTTTCCTCGTCTTCCTCTCTCTCCACTCCAGATTCGGGAGCAGGTCTTGTGATTGTGCAAGCAGTAGTCTCGCTCCAGAGTCGCGAGTCCGAGTCTGCGCTCACGAGTACATACCCCTACTGAAACTACGCGATTTGAAATTGCGCATTGCGCAGATCGCGAGCCGAGAATTGATTTATGAATAAGATGCAAATGAATGATTTGATATATCTTGCACCGTCATTTGAATGCCGAGAAATGGGACACGGTGAAGATGATTCCTTTGCAGCTCTAGGCAGTACGAGATGCCGAAGACGGCAGATATGTGATGCAAACGCTGCTCGCGTCCCG